TTTTCTCTATTATAGTTAAGGACGATGATATTACTAGACTTTCCCGCATTAATTTTTATTAAGATTGCGCAAATGCATTCCGATCCAGCTGAGGATTATAACAAAATGAACAACAACCACATGCTCAAGTGAATTGCAGCGGAATAGCTGCGCTTGATTGTAGTTGGCTTAGCATGTGAAATAGTGGAAATAAGCAACAAGAATTAACAAGGCGAACTTAGCAAAGTGCGTAGGCAACTGGCTGAGTCAGTGGGATCGTCGGTTCTAATCCTACTGAAAGAAGTCTGATGAGGAAATATGGTGATTTCCGAAATAGCTATCACTTCTACCATTTTTCTTAAATTATTGTTGCTTTTCCACAATAAATTTTCATTAAAAAACGGCCTCGAGCTCAATAAAAATTGTTGAATACAAAATGAAAGATTACGAACAACAGAAAAAAGTTAAATGTCATATGCGAACATCAAAGAGTTAGCGAATTTAAAACAATTTGGAAAATCATATATGCATACCCTTCTGTAACCCATTAGCAACAATTTTCATCATTGAAACGTGTCGACGTTCATAACTCACGTCGGCAAGTTGCAATGGCGATCCGAAAATTGTTGGTAAGAGTTTCGCGAACCAACTTATTTTGTATATAAAACTGACTGTAAAATATGACGAAAAAATATTTAAAAATATTATAAAGACATGTACATTAGGGGGGTAAAAAAAAGTAAAGTCGGAATTTTAATACTCTCACCCCCTAGGATTGTTCTATACCGGAAAAATATATATATATAAAATATTTTTTCAAATTTGAAATCAAAAAATATTTAGAGGTCGCTCCAAGCGTCAAAATTTTACATGTTTTTTATATGGAAAAACAACTTTTCGTAGAAATTGTATAGAGTTCTTGAAAATGAATATTTTTCGATCGGCAAACTCTGGTTCTGGTTCTGGTTTTTTTTAGATTAATGTTTTGTTACATGTTACATATGCAAATTTGTTTATTTGGTTTAAAATAAAGAACTGTATAAAAACTCGATTTTATTTTATTTCCTTATCTCTGCACATCGATATTCTTCAAAAGTAATTTTTAGGCTTGAGAAAAACGTTCAAATTTGATTATCGATCACATCAACTTGCCTTTTTTACTCTTGTATTGAATCCCAAATATTAAAAAAAAACTCCCTTCTCAAAAAATTCCAATGTGGCAAAGCTAGCTTAATGTTTACATTTGGCGAAATGTCAAAAATCTGCTTTATAATAAAAAAATAATAGTAATGGAACTACCTTCTTTTTTGTATCATGAGTTTAACAAACAACAGTTTTGTTTGCTTTTGATACTTTTTCTGCTTGGCAACTGATAATTTTTTTTCAAGCTCGCGGCAACGCTGATCACGATGCGTGTCTGTGGCGCGATGTTAACTTCATGTTACTCATAGTGGGCGTGATGTTAACTCCTCTGCTCTGTTCCGGGTCGCCATGTTATTCATAGTGGTCGTGATGTTAACTTCTCTGCTCTTGTCCGGGTTGTAATATTACGTCCGCGAAGAAAAATTTATTTGTATGTGGTGCGTCGTCTGTATACTGTTTATTCTGGGTTTTTAGTCAGTACGCTAATGTCCTGATTTTTCAAAATTTGTACTGATTTGTGCTAAATTTTCAATTCAAACAAATACTTTAGGATTTTCATAAGGTTTTTACATAACGTTGGGACTTGCTTAAACTGCACTGTAAAAAGTAAGAAGAAAATAATTTAAATATATTTGACATGTTTCCAACAATGTTTGATATGCCCAAGAAATTATTACAACAAAAAGATCAATAGTTTATTGGCATATCGCCGGGTCTTGACGTACCTGTTGCGATAATATGACGGAGCTTAAATTATTTAAAAAGAAGGCTGACGTATTTTTTTTGTCGAGTATTGTTAGTTATCTCGAAAATATCTTGCAGTTTGGTAACAGCAAATTTGAATATTCGAAGGGTTTTTGCCTACAACTTAAGCTACTTGACTTGCTGTCTACTTTGAGGCAAGCAATTTTTTAATCATCATTTAGACAAGCGATTTTTCTTGAGCATTGTTGAATCGCCTAGAAAATCGCCTCATGTAAGTTCAGCTTTATAATTATTTATTTCTCAATTTGCTTGTAAAAGAGTTTTGCATACAACTCATAGAGTTAGATACCCTTTTCATCGAATTCCTAGTCTTTCGATAAGGAAGTATATGAAAAATACGTGCAAAAATATGTAACTTTGTTTTTTTTTTTCAATACCACACTCAAACGCAGCAGCTGAGAGGATTTTAAGTATAAAGTTTCCTGGCGCAAAGAGAGAAACCGGCTTCTAATTAAATTTTTTGAAAGTGTACTTCAAATTAAGTTAAATTAAATACTGAAAATGGAAGTGATCTCATTATTGTTGAGTTCATGTGTGCATTATGCTTAAGATTTAGTTGTAAATGATCAAATTAGGGTTAATGTAAGCATTGTAGCGCCTATGGGTAAACCACTTTCACATTTTCTTATCGTTATGCACTTCTTGCTTGTATGTTCTTTGCTCATCTTTTTATACTCACTCGTTGTTAACACCCGCTCGCTAAGCATCGTTTTTCCGCAATCTCCGCGAAGTTCACCCGCTTAATTTTTTGTAGCTTTTTACTAACGCTTTACCCGCAACAATTATTGTGAAAATTTAGGATTATTGTTAGTGAATAAAGACAATTGAATTGAATATTAATCAAACGCCTTTGATTTGGAACAAAGACTATTCCCGCGCGAAATCCGCCGCAACATTTATTGGTCCTTCGGTCCGGATTTGCTAATTTCTCTCGCTAGTTTTGTATGTGTAGTGAATACACATACATACATATATATTATAATCCGCAAATAGAAACTAAAGAAAACAGAGTGCTACCCGCAAGTGAACTAAAACAAAATACCAGAGCTATAATTGCTATCCCTGCTAAAAAAAAAGTGCCACCGCAGTTAAATAATTACGGCAAGTTGCGTTAAAGCTAAAATTCCCGTGCGTGCATTTGAAAAAATAGAGCCTACTTCAGCGCATTAGCTCGTTTGTTACATTGGTGCGGTCGTCCTTCATTTAACCTTAAGAACCTCCATAAACCTATCACGTCCTTCAATCGCCCTTTGTAAGTGCCAAATATTAAATTTGGGACCTACGAGCGACTCGTCAAAATCAAAACGATAAAAAATGTCGAACTCCGTTAAAACGCGCTATTCTGCGCTCAATGCCATCAAGCGATATATGGGTAAGACCACTGACGGAGCATTTTAATGGACGCAGAAAGTGTTAAAAGTTATCTGCAACTCCTTAACGAACAGTAGGTTCGTTTCAATACCGCTCATGACGCGGTAGAACTCTCGTGCGGAAGTGACAATATAGATGTCGAAGAAAATGTGCGAATTCAAGCCGAGACATGGTATTCTACCGCTTTAGCCAATTTTAATCGCATACAGAAGTGTTGTACCGAACCACACCCCTTGCCCGCTCAAATGCCTGTGTCTGCATCGATACGTCTGCACTAAATGGAGCTGCCCACATTCTCCGGTGACTCCACGGAATGGATTGGTTTTTTCGAAGCATTTTCTTCGCTGGTGGATAGTAATGCCGCATTGTCGCACGGAAAAAAGCTGCACTATCTCCGTAGTTGTTTGAAACGCGACGCGTTAAAAATTATAAGTGGCTTCAAAATATGTGACGCTAATTACGATGAAGCTTGGGACCTTTTGAAATCGCGCTATAAGGCCATGCGGGTAATAGTGGAAGGGCATCTCAGAGCTATGGCCGATGTTAAAAAGGCTACTAGTGATACTGCTGACGCAATAAAAATTGTAATCGACGCATTTCAACAACACATACGCGAACTTAAGGCTTTAGGTTGACCAGTAGAGTTTTGGGACGATTGGTTGGTACACGAAGTAGTGAACAAGTTAGCATTCTAGACGCGAAAACAGTGGGAGCTATCACTCGTCAGTGATGAGCCTCCGTCGTTCGAGCAGCTGTCCACGTTTTTGTAAGTCAGGTGCCGTTCTCTGGCTATGCTTTCGTCGTCAGCATCACCACCAACCAACGGTAAAACCACTTCCGTAAGCAAGTCCACGAATGTGTTTCACGCAGGGTAGGAACAAAACAGCTCATGTTGTACCTATTGTAAAGGTCCTCACAAAATATATAGTTGTGATAAGTTTCGCAACCTGGACTCAAACGCAAAATCGAAGTTTGTGAGAGAAGCGCGCGTGTGTACGAACTGCTTAAGCTCCGGTCATTACCAGGCGAAATGTAATAGCTCCTCTGCATGCAGGATCTGCCAGCAACGTCATCACACGCTGCTGCATAATCCCTCTTCTACAGCTAACGTCACAACCACCGCTCATTTCGCCAACAACGCGCCTCCTGTCACGCCATCCCCTCTCGCCGCGAAAGCTGCACTACAATCAAACGCGAACACTTCATCTGCTATTGCCTCGTCCACGGGCTCCGCCGCCGCATGTACATTCTCGTATTTGAATGCTAACTCCAACCCGCCGCGTCCAAAAGATAGAACTGTGCTATTGGCTACCGGCTTAGTCAAAGTCCGCGATTATTCTGGTCATTGGCAAACCGCTCGCTTGCTATTTGATTCCGGCTCACATGCTTCCTTCGTGACTGAGGCATGTGTACAACGTCTAGGACTACCACGAAAAGCGTCCGCAGTATTCGTTACTGGCATCGGTTCATCGCAAGGAGGCCGCTCTAGAGGTGAGGTATTGCTTTCATTGCCGTCTTATTGTTTAGATGAATGCTTCCCTGTCAACGAGTTAATCTTACCCAAGATTACAAGTGACTTGCCCACACAGACCTTGGCAGTTTCAGCGTGGCCGCAGGTGCAAGGCTTATTCTTAGCCGTTCCGCAGTTCATGAAATCCGGACGTATCGACATTCTGGTTGGCATGGACGTCATACAATAGCTCCTCTACGCAGAAGTACGTAAGGGTCCACCTGGCACGCCGATGACTCAACGAACTGTTTTTGGTTGGACGCTATTTGGAAATGTCGATGGATTAGAACCTGCTGCACCTCGTCTACAGTCGCTGCATTGCGATGTGCAGTTGGATAGGGCTCGTACTAGACTGTGGGAGTTAGAAGAAGCGCCGCAAAAGACCCACCTCACGTATGAAGAGCGTCACTGCGAAGAACTCTTCGAAACAACGCACCGAAGAGCACCTGACGGTCGCTTTGTAGTTGAACTGCCGCTGAAACCCGACGTACTTCTGGGAGATTCACGAAGTTATGCTGTCCGAAGCCTACTACGTATCGAGAGACGACTTGCTCGAGACGACGACCTACGACTACGCTACAATGAGTTCATGCAGGAACTTCTCGACATGAATCATATGGAGCTTGCACCGGAATCAACGAATCAAATGTTTTACATGCCGCATCATCCTGTTGTAAAGGATTCGAGCGTTACCACTAAGATGAGGGTCGTTTTCAACGCGTCAGCTAAAACCGCCACCGGAAATTCGCTGAACGACGCATTATTTGTCGGTCCTCAACTACAGCAGGATTTATTTTCGATTTTAACGCGTTTTAGAACGCATCGCCATGCAGTGGCCTCGGACATTGCGAAAATGTACCGCCAAATATGCGTAGCACCGGAGCATATTGATCTACAGCGAATTGTATGGCGTCGAGATCCGACTTTACCCATACAAGACTATCGTATGCTGCGCGTAACTTACGGCGTGGCAGCCGCGTCTCATCTAGCTGTTAGATCGCTACAGCAAACCGCTAAATATTCGCATATTTGTGATAAAGCTTCTGCTGCAATCCACAAAGACTTTTACATGGACGATCTCATCACTGGTACATCGTCCAAAGAAGAGTTGCTACTTTTACAGCAAAACATCTCAGAAATCCTGAAAGAAGGTGGCTTCGAGTTTCGAAAGTGGGCATCAAATTGTACGGAACTTTGCGAAAATATTTCAAATGCATCGAAAACCATATCTCATTACCTAGCCGACGGTGAGGATGTCCACGCTTTGGGTCTAGTGTGGAATACAGCAGAGGATTACCTAACGTTCGTGGTTAATTTGAAGAAGCCACCCGCTATTTTAACGAAGAGAACGTTTTCATCTGATGCTAGCACGCTTTTGATCCTCTGGGACTGCTCGCTCCAGCGACGATAAGATCGAAGATGTGGTTCCAGGAGATTTGGCGTAACAATGTTGGTTGGGATGACGTAATTCCTGACTCTATTGCAATGAAGTGGTTGGAACATCGTTCAGAGCTGCAACTTCTTTCGAACTTGCAGGTAACTCGCTGGATTGGCTCAGGCACAACTGGTTCGTTCACCGAGCTGCATATCTTTGCTGACGGAACGAGCTTACGTCGCCGTTATGTATGCACGCACCTTGCAACCCGACGGCCGGGTCACTGTTGCTGTTGGTCGAAGACCAAAGTTGCGCCGCTCAAAACAACAACGCTGCCCCGTCTAGAACTATGCGCTGCGCATCTCGCTGCTAAGTTGGTGCAAAGCGTGTTACACAGTTGGGACGATCTCCGCTATCCGCTGTATGCTTGGACGGACTCCACAATCACGTTGGCATGGATACAAGCGCATCCTAGCAAATGGATGACGTTCATCGCCAATCGGGTCGCTGACATCCAGGAAATTCCTCCTCCTGAATGTTGGAACCATGGCCGCTCGGAACTGAATCCATCCGATTGTGCCTCTAGGGGTATAACTCCCTCTGAGCTGCAACGTCAACAACTGTGGTGGTCGGGCCCCGAATTCTTGAGGAGCGATGACCAGTTCTGGAAACTAACCTCCTCTAAAAAGCACACAACCGAGATAGGCGTTCGAAGCAAAGTCGTTGCTCATATGACGGGCTCAAACGAGCACTGGCCTATAATGCTGAAGTATTCGTCGTATTCCAAACTGCGCCATGTCATCGTTTACGTACTAACGTTTTTTGTCAACGCTCGAGCGAATACCCCACTCAATGCTGCTAGGCGATTTGGTCCTCCGAGTTGTCAAGAGTAATCAGAAGCTGAGCTGCGCCTGATCAGGTATACCCAATTGTTCTATTTCTCTAACAAAATCTCTCTTTGCAGCGCAAAAAGGCCAGTTCCGCCTCGCAGCAGTCTTTTGCGTTTGCAGCCATACCTCGATGAGAAAAACGTCTTGCGTGTTGGAGGTCGCTTGAAGCATGCTGCAGTTACTCCTGATGTAAAGCACCCCGTCATCTTACCAGAAAACTCTCCGCTTGCAAAATTAATCGTCCACGATATTCACGAGTTTACGTTACACTCTGGACCCCGAATTATGCAGACCGTCTTGCAATGCCGATATTGGCTTATTGGTGCTCGCAGTCTTATACGCAGTATATATCATAAGTGCGTGAAATACACTCGTTTAAACCGCAATCTCGCCACACAATCTATGGGCGATTTACCTGCAGCTCGCACTACCCACGCTCGTTGCTTTACCCGCAACGCTGTTGACTTCGCTGGGCCTTACTTATATAAGTTCGCCCGTGGTAGAGGAGCGAAGGCGACCAAGGGTTACATTTGCTCATTTGTTCGCATGTGCACTGGCGCCATGCACTTGGAATTTGTTGGAGACCTGTCAACACCAGCGTTTCTGAATGCATTCAAAAGATTCATAAACCGCCGGGGCTACTTCAAAGTCATGTCGTCTGACAACGGCACGAATTTCGTTGGCGCTGAGAAAGAACTTCGAATTGGATTCCAGCGGTGCATGGCAGATGCTAAGTTACGTACGTTCTTCGCCGACTCAAATATCGAGTGGCCTTTCAACCCCCCGTCTGCACCTCATATGGGTGGATACTGGGAAACAGGCATCAAGCGCATTAAGTATCACCTGAAACGTGTACTGGGGCCAACTCTATTGTCCTATGAAGAGTTCAACACGCTGCTGACAGAAGTAGAGGCCTGCGTGCACTCCCGACCGCTCTGTGACAACTCTGCAGCTGCTGATGACTTAGAGGTCTTAACCCCTGGTCATTTTATTATTGGTGAACCACTGAAGTCAATCCCAGAACCTCAGGGTCAAGGGTTCTGTGGAGATCTGCGCCAGCGGTGGCAAGCTATTTCTGCCATGAGGCGACATTTCTGGCGCCGTTGGAGAGACGAGTATCTCGTCAGTCAACTGCGCTGCACCAAGTGGTTTCGCACTTCGCGCAACATCGAAGAAGGTGATGTGGTTGCGGTCTGCAACGAGCCTACTCCTTCGACAAAGTGGACGCTGGCAAGAGTTACTAAATGCCGTACTGGTGCTGATGGGCGCGTAAGAGTGGTTCCGTTAAAGACACCGCAAGGCGAACTAGTTCGGCCCATAGTTAAACTCTGCCTCTTACCAACAAAAGGTGATATATTTCATGAAGAAGTCTAGTATATAGTAACTTATCTATAAATGTAATTTGAAATATTTGCCAGTATCAATCTTTTTTTTATGCATTTGTAATTTTTATATTGAACGTATCAAGATAGTTCAAGGGCGGCGGTATGTTGAGTTAAAGTATGCATTATGCTTAAGATTTAGTTGTAAATGATCACAATAGGGTTAATGTCAGCATTGTAGCGCCTATGGGTAAACCACTTTCACATTTTCTTATCGTTATGCACTTCTTGCTTGTACGTTCTTTGCTCATCTTTTTATACTCACTCGTTGTTAACACCTCTCGCTAAGCATCGTTTCTCCGCAATCTCCGCGAAGTTCACCCGCTTAGTTTTTTGTAGCTTTTTACTAACGCTGTGAATAAAGACAATTGAATTGAATATTAATCAAACGCCTTTGATTTTGGAACAAAGACTATTCTCCCGCGAAATCCGCCGCAACAATTATTGCTATTTAAAAATGTAATAAATATAAAATAATTTATTGGCTCCTGTGTACAATTATGTGTACAAGCAAGTTAAAATGAATGACATTTTTGTTTTTATGAACTATACCACAGGGCAACAGGTGCGGCGAATGTTAAATCTGTTTTTGAGCTGATTACGAATCCGTAATTATAAAGATTCCATCACGTACAGATTTTGAGAAAATCGTGGTCAAAGTGTCAAAAAATCGGGTTTTTTTCAATATTTGAGAAGCTCGAGCAAAGAGTAAAATTGTGGTAGAACCTTCCACTTAGGCTTAACTTAAAGCTAGAACCCTAGGCTACTGTCCCTGAAAATACCATCCCTGCACCTTTACTTGATGGCCATTTATAGTCATTTCTTGAACAATAAAAAAAATGCTGGCAAATTGTGCTATTGAAAAAAAAAAAATTGCTGCCAAAATCAGTTTGTGCTGTTCAGTAAAGTGATCTTAGGGTCAAGACGAAGAGATGGTATTTTTAGGGATTGTAGTTGAAAGTTCAAGCCTTAATTTAAGCTTAAGTGGAAGGTTCTATCACCTTTTGTTTAATGGCGGCAGGGACTCAAACTTCGCCAAAAATCAAATTTTACTGCTCAATAAATGACTATAAGTGACCATAAATTCAATGTGCAGGAATGGTATTTTCAAGGATAGTAGTCGAGGGTTCTTGCTTTAATCTAAGCCTAAGTGAAAGGTTCTATCACCTTTTTACTCTTTGCTAGAGCTTCTCAAATATTGCAAAAGCCCGATTTTTTGACACTTTGACCTCGATTTTCTCAAAACCTGTACGTGTTGGATCCTTTGTACTTACGGATTCGTAATTAGCACAAAAAAGTCTATCAAAAATAGCTTTAACATTTGTCGCACCAACATTTTTTTTCATTTTTGTTGGCCTGTGTACTTTATTTTTATACTAAAATATTGTTGAAAACAAGTACTCTGGCGTTTTAGAGTATTATCCATGATAAAAACATTACAAGGTAAATTCATTCTCTCAATTCGTCGGCCATGATTTTGTTCTGACGTTTGCCAACATTTTAAAATCATATAAAATTGAAAATAAAAAAATTAAATTGTTCACAATTGTTGTTGTTTGAGATTGAAAATGAGAATGTGTGTGTGAGTTTGAGTTCCCAACAAAAAAAATAAACTTAAAGAAAGTTTTTTTTAAGTTTTCAATTATAAACATTAAGCTTACAAAACGTTGATTTTTTGTTTATAAAACGCGTAAGCGTAATATAATCGAAAAGGAACATTGGTTATAAGCGTAGAAATATAAACTTGTAATAAATGTTCAAAAGAAAGCTTTTTATAAGCGTAAAAGTGTAAACTTATAATAAAGGTTCAAAAAAAGTTTTTTATAAGCGTATGAATATAAACTTACTAAAAATTTTCAAAAGAAAGCTTTTTATAAACATTTTTATAACACTTTATTTAAAGATATTTCATTAAAAACTCATACATAGATTGCTTAACATCTAGAAACTAAACGAAATGCGAATTTTCAGCGGACTCATCTACTGTGGCGAAAATATAAATAGGGAATAGACATTTTAGCATACAAATTCACAATAACACATACAAATTAAGCATAAAAAAGTTAATTATTACATCTTGTTGCGTGCTTTCAATTACTTGCGGTTATTGGCAAATTGGAAAAGCGACATCGATGCAGCTATATATTCCGCTTCATCGCCGCCATTCTCATTGATGAACTTTTCTGAAAAAAATTTAATACATTTTTAATTGAATGTTAAACTAAGAAAGGATAAGGGGAACTCATCATTTGAAGATTCGAATGCTCCACCGATTAGCGCAGCGGGTCCTGGATTGGATTTTTTTTACCACATCGGTTTTATTTAATTTTTTCTTTTAATAATGGCTGCGTTTCTTTATACATTCCGGATAATCCCATATCACTACCGGAATAAACAGAATGCGTTTGAAATATACGTTAACATATCATCAGGAACGTTCTAAAGAATAAGTAAACAAAAAAGTTTATTCCAAACGTTCAGAATGAATAAAGAAATGCAGCCAATATATTTTAAAAAACGTAAACACGTCACTTACGATTGAAAAAATTTTATATTTACTACTTCATGTCGTTGGCATTTACATTTCATTTATAAGTTTAAGTTATTTATAAACATTCGCTCTCAAAACTTATTAAAGGTTTATTTGAAAAAACTTTTAATAAGCTTAATATTGAAAATACTCATTTAACGCTTATTATAGCAAACTTAATTTAAGTTATTTTTAAAAACGTTTACTGAAATGCTTGTTGGGTTTTGATTTTAAAATTATATTGTTGGCAAACGTCAGACTGCCTCTCAATGGTTTTACCTTGTTATGTTTTTATCATGGTATTATCTGTAATTTATATTCACAATTTTGCTTTGAGTAAAAGTGTACTGAAAAGTCATGGTGCAACAAGTAAGAAAGTCTAAGTTCGGGCCGAGCCGAAAATTAAATACCCGGCGCAAGTATTAAATATATGTTTTCCACCTTTCCGAAAGCTACCACTACATGATAAGCCGGGGTGTATACATTTTAAGTAAATTAGCGTCCTTAAACTTCGAAATATTGAAGTTTCAAGCATTTCTGAAATTTACCGTTATATGAAAAGCGGCCGTAATTTTAGTCCGTTTTCAACAATTTTCAACGGTTTGCTTTTACGTGGCAAGCACAATAACCATACCGAGTTTGGTACAAATTGCTAGAACGGTTAGCGAGATACATATATCTTACTAATATTATAAATGTGAAAGTTTGTATGTTTGGATGTTTGGGAAATCATCACGCGGAAACGACTGAACGGATTTGCATTAAATTTTGTACGCAGATAGCTTATGGGCCAGATTGGTTAATAGGATATTTTTTTAAGAGTTGCCACCTGTTAAAAAAGTTTCATTAAATTAATACGCGGAAACGACTGAATGGATTTGCATGAAATTTTGCAAGCAGATAGCTTATAACCTACTGTAGAAAATAGGCTAATTTTTTGGAAGAGTTGCCACCTGTTAAAAAGTTTAATTAAATTAATACGCGGAAACGACTAAACGGATTTGCATGAAATTTTGCACACAGATAGATTATGACCTAGGTTAGAAAGTAGGCTACTTTTTTTAAGAGTTGCCACCTGTTATAAATGTTTAATTTAATTAATACGCGGAAATGAGTGAACTGATTTGCATGGAAGTTTTCACACAGATAGCTAGGTTGAAAAATAGGCTACTTTTTTTAAGAGTTACCACCTGCTAAAAAAGTTTAATTAGATTAATACGCGGAAAATTCTGAACGGATTTGCATGAAATTTTGCAAGCAGATAGCTTATGACCTACAGTGGAAAATAGGCAAATTTTTTGGAAGAGTTGCCACCTGTTAAAAAAGTTTTAATTAAATTAATACGCTTATGACCTATGTTGGAAAATAGGCTACTATTTTAAGAGTTATCACGTATTAAGTTTAATTAAATTAGTACGCGTAAATGACAGAACTGATTTGCATGAAAGTTTGCACACAGATAGCTTATGACCTAGACTGGAAAATAGGCTACTTTTTTAAGAATTGCCACCTGTTTGAAAATGAAATTTTGCTCAAAGATGGTTTATGACCTGGATTGAAAAACAGGCTACTTCCTTAACCGGTTTTCCGATCAGAACGAAATTTAGTACACTTACTACGGATTTCGGAAGGATGGTCTTAGACTGAAAGTAAGTCCGATAACTCAAGGCCCCTCCCATACAAATTAGAAAATTCTTATTACATACATATCTCTGGAAGTATTTGTGGGAGAGAACTGAAACTTGGTATAGTGATATCTATGTGAAATCAATGATGGCATTAATCGATTGATGTTTTAATCAGTTAGTTAATTCGATTAAATTCAATCTGATTACAGTTAATCATGATTAATTTTAACCTGACTGAACAGTTAATCGTGACCGCGATTAAAAAATTAATTTTTAATCATTAACTCTTAATTTGATCAAGTAGGTTTGGTGATTAATTAAGTTATGCTGGAATTTCCCTGTGCACACAAAGCAAGTTAAACCGGTATGGCTAAGTCGGGTTTCCTCATCCATCTAAGCAATTTCGTGTGCATTTTCATTAAGATATATACCAACAAACGTTTTACAAACTAGGTTTGTGAAAGTTCCCAGTTTATGTATTACTAATAACAATAATTATAATTTTTTTATATTATGTGCTTTTTATAAGCGTAAAACACAAAATAATTACTATAACTGGTGTTTGGTTTCAAACTCGGACAAACTAGACAAATTAATCAGATTTTATTTTTAATTGGATTAACGATTAATGTTTTAAATTAATTAAACGTAATCGCAGCCAGCGATTAAGGATTCAAAAAATGTTATCATTAATCGTACAGTTGATAACGACTAATTAATTTTAATCGTCAAACGCGATTAACATTTTAATCGGTAATCAGATTAACAGTTTTCCAACACTGTGTGAAATCATGTTCATATTCACGGAGAAAAATGGACGTTTTTGGAAAAGAG